CGATGATCCTTATGGGTCCCTTCCAACTCAGGATATCCTATGATCCTATATAAATACCTGAAGCGAGTGTGCAAAGAGGACAGAGCCAGGCTCTTTTCAGTGGTGCCCAGTGCCAGGACCAGAGGCAGCAGGCACAAACCGAAACACAGGAGGTTCCCTCTGAACATCAGGAAGCACCTTTTCACTGTGCGGGTGACTGAGCACTGGCACAGGTTGCCCAGGGAGATTATGGAGTTTCCATCCTTGGAGATAATGAGAAGCCATCTGGGCACAGTCCTGGACAACCAGCTCGTGGTGGCCCCACTTGAGGTTTGGACCAGATGATGTCCAGAGGCACCTTCCAACCCCAACCATGCTATAACTTCGTAAGTGTACATGTTTAATGCGGTGAAATATTTTTTTTCTTTGCAAGCAAATCAAAAGAAGATTATTTAATTAAAATCAAGATTATGGTTTGTACAACTTCGTAATCCATCCTTTTTTTCTGTGTAACTGTGACACTGCCTGAGTGCTCTGCACTGGGAATCTCTCCAATGAGTGTTCTCTCTGTTCAACAGAACCTGGTCCTTTCTGAGTTACTTGATACCAAAATGTGTTTGTAGTTACAGTGAAGAACAGAGCAATATTTCCGGTCGGTCAGCATTTAAAGGGAAAACTGAGGATTCTGGAAGTTTTGCTTTGAGCACTGCTCCTTCAGCAGGGGAAACAGCGATGGGAGAAGTGGGAATGTTTTCGTAAGCAGGGATGTCAATCTGCTGCCCAATCTTGAGATCTGGTATCTTGAAAGTATATCCTGCTACGCATACAAATATGGATATATACTGGATCACTTCAGATATGCCGTGTTTAATGGCAGCATGTGTAAGTGAGCAAATTCTAAGGATAAGAGCTGAAACTCACCTAATATATAAGTTTTGCCCTTAATACAATGTACATCCAGTCCCTTGGAAGTCTGTCAGACAGGATGCAAGGAAAAGGGACAGCTGAGAGAGGAGCAGCATTCCTAGCAGAGGAAGGAAAGAAATCCAGTTGAAAAAATACCATGTCAGTGCCACTTCCAGAGCAGAAAATTGCTGTGTTAAGAAAACTGTATTTAGCAGTTAAGAATGGGGGAGGTGAGAACTTCTAGAGAAAGAAGAAAATACCTATTTTGAGATATAGTACTAAAAACCTGAAAGCAGTAGCCTTCCTTTCTCTTAACTCTGGTTTCAAGTGGATGTTTTCAAATACCATTAGTCATTGCAGCTCAGTTGAATCATTTATATGTAAATATGCATTTTCATACTTAATTTTTTTTTCCTCCGTTACTGTTTTACAGGGTTCGAAGGAAGCTAGTTCTGTGTCATGTTGGATGTGAATGCAGGGACCTTGCTGGACACCCAGTAGAAACACCTGCTGTGCACTGTTGGAATGGACATGTGACATTTTAACCTTGCATTGTATATTTTCTTGTAAATAGCATAAAATCTAAGTTCTAAAAAAAAAAATCTCTTTATGCAATAAAGACATTAAAATTTAATACCAATTATAAGTAAATAATGTATCTCTACTTGTTATTTGAAATTTGCTTTAGCTGTTACCAGTAAAAGTCCAATTAATTTCCCCAAAATATCTGTGTAGGAAATTACAGGATGACATAAAATAAGATGGCTGGGAGACCAGCCAACGTGTGCTTTGCTAAAAGAGCAATTACTGTTGTCTTCCTTAAAGGATATGTAGAAAAATTGTTTGGAAGAAGTTGTAGAATGCTCCCATGAAGTTATTTTTAACTATCTTAACAAATCTTACTAATTTTTTTAAAACAAAATTACATGATTGAATCTGTTGCATACAAATCATCTCAGAAATATCTTTGGCCTTCATGCTTTCCGTGAGCATGGAAAAACCCGGAATTTATTTAATATCTGACCTTCAAATAGAAAGCACTCTTAAAATAATAATGGGTGTGAAAAGTGGTTTTGACTTTTACCATAGCCTTTATTTTTCTGCGACTTCTTATCTGGATTTGTTGGGTTTTTTCCTGACATCTTCTTTACAGGCTTAGAAAGGAGGATGTGAGTCAGTTCATAGCATTTTCTAAAAATTTATTAGGATAAATGTGGAAGACTTTTCCTCTAAGTCTTAATTTGTTGGCCCAGCCTTTATAAAAGACACTTTGAAAAGGACTTCAATGTGTGCATTTTTTTAACAAGTTTTACTCTCAGAACAAAACAGACATATTTTAATAGGAATTCCTCAATTTTTCTTTTCTGACAACACCAGTTTTCTCCTTTTTTTTACAAACCAACCAATCTAACGCAGTATTCGTGTTCTTTGTCAGCACAATTTGCATTATTTATCTATGACTTTGACAAACAGAAGGAAAAGGTATACAAAAAGGTGTTATTTCTCTGGGTATGCCAAAGGAATTGTTATAACTCTTTAAAAATTGGTGTGCGGGTCCGTAAGTGCACTCTCTGTTACTGGTTTTATGTTGATTTGGGGAAGCTCATTCTGTAAATTAATAACTTTAGGGACTGGTGTTCACAAATCGTCAATGCCAGGTTATAACTACCAGTGTGTCAAGGTCAGTTGTTCTTTGTCTCCCTGTTCTGACACAACTTACCTAATGCACCTGTGTGATCCAGATCTTTTCATGCCCAACCCTTGAATTTTATGTGGAAGCAAATGAGGTCTTGAAATTTAAGCATACTGAATGTGTATCTTCATGCACCTTCTTGAAATCTGCAGGTGCAGTGAATTTGAGAGGCAAGTAGCTTGGGTCTGAAAACAGTGTGGTGCGCTTTCCAGAGGAACAAAGCAGGTTTATTCAAAACACTGAGAATCAATTTAACACAGCAAGAAACAACATGGAAACATGTTGATGTCAAAATTCCAAATGTGAATGATCTTAGAGAAATAATCATCATTTACACTCATTTATAAACAATCACTTCTTGATAAAGTGTCAGAAATTTACACTTGGCATTTAATTCGATTTCTGGTTTTATACTCTAGCCTCTTACAACTGCGTATTTTAAAAATATTTTTAAATACAGCGTTCCCATAGAGAAGACAATCTTTTGAGTTATGATCACAATTCTGCTAAAGCCAGGTTATGCTGCAAAAAGCCCCGTTACTGGGCAACTTCTGAAGGTTGCCACAGTGCTGCAGGAGTCAATGCGAGCACCCAGTGTTCCCCCTGAATGTTACTGCGGAGTAACGGTCAAGAGTCCTGTGCTTTCGTCTTTGGAAAAAGGTGTAAAATTGAGCATATTTATATGAATCAAAATCATAGATTGTGTTCTCACTCCAGATACAGTCCCCAAACCGGTCATATGAAATAGTGAAATATATGTACTCATTTTGTTAAAATTGATCAAAAGGAAATCAAGCTTTCATTGCATCTTTTGTTAATGGAAAACTAAAAAATTGAGATGCTGCATCTTCTAAGGTAAAGTGGAAAAAAAAAATTTAATTGCATGTAAATGGACCTCATGCTTTTAATGACACAGAGTTTAATCCAGCTTGTTCAGGCATTGGTGTAGGTATGATAAACAGGACTGGAAGCAAAGTTGAATTATTAGATTCAAAGCTTTAACCCTGAGTGGAGATCAAAGAAAGGTATATACACCTAAAATAACTCCATTTCTAGAAGCTTGTTTACATTACTGGAATTAGATTCTTAATCAACTTACTATCTAAAGCAGCTAAAAGAATTTGGCAAGTTAAAAATACCCCATTTCAGTCAGCGCTTGTTTTATGACGGAGCATTAGTATTCACTGATACTTTGCTTCTTGAAACATTAAATTGAATTGTGGGTTATGCGAGTTGGTTTGTATCTGCTGCTTCAAACTAAGTCACAAATTCTGCACTGCGTGCTTTGATGACTCTACCAGATTAAAGACAATTGCTTGTGCTGCTTACTGTTGACGTGCAGAAACCCAAGTGCTCATTCATCTTAAGGTGTAAAGAAAGAGAACCGTTCTCTCTTCCCTTTGTCAGCACCATCTCTCCTCCTGCCTTCCTCTAAACGAAAACATAGTGAGCAAAAATCAAGTATGCAAGATTGTTATAGTGAACAATACAGAAATCAAGGTAAGACTTCCTTCAATAAGACTTCCAGAAGAAAACTTGATTCGACCTTCAACTGCTGGGTAAACTCTCTTCATTTTCTGGAGGTAACGGGAAACAACCTCAATATCAGGTTCACCTGAACAAACAAACAAACAAAAAAAGGTAAGAGTGTTCTCTGCGGCAGCCAGGCTCTCAACCAAAATTTAAGAACCTGCCTAAATCTGCAGTTTTAGCTCAAGTTTAAAAGTGAACTCTACTATGGTTTGTCATTCTGAATTATAGCCTGCCGTCAAGGCAGCATTGGCTGGTGGAGTGCTGTTTCTTGTGCACAGGTATAACATCTATGGTGCTTTGTAGCCTGAATTTTTGGTAGCAACTCATATTTTACTGGGAAAACAAAAAGTTTTCTGTGCATCGTTTGGCTTTTTGTTTGGATCTTTCTGTTACAATGGTAACTTTCAGTCAGATTTAGGTAGGTTGAGATAAGCCTCCCACCTGTCAGGGGTAGATCGCTATAGATCTGGCAAAGCATCGCTTAAACCTTTTCAAATTTAACTTTACTTTTTTTAGGAAGAATTTTTAGTCTTTGTGTTGCTGTGCGCGTACAAAATACAATGTACATTTTCTACAGTGCAAGAGCCTCTTGAGTCAGCGCAGCTGACCGTGTCATACGAGCCCCTTCTAAGCTGAGCTCTTACAATTCTCAAGTGCAACACCTCCATCTTACAAGTAATTATAGGTTTTTTTCCTCTGCTGTACTGGACTACTAGAACTTTTCAAGTTGTTCCCTTTCATTATTCCTAATGATTTTTCTCTATGCCCTTGATTTACAAGCTGTATGCTGAATTTGATTAAAACCATCAATCCCACTTGTGAGAATAAATTTTAAATTGAAACACCCTGTAGAACCATAAAAATAGTCTGTAACGAAGGTCCAAAAGGACAATTTTTTTTGGTAAAAGCGTGCTTTTACCATCCCAAAGCAGAACACACAAAATTAAAGTTCTGCAAGATGTAGATTTGCTCCTAGGAGATACTTTTTTTTTTTTTTTAATACAGCACTACATCCTTTTTGTGTTTTCAGATCTAATTTTAATCTCAAAAACTTTTCAAAAGTTCCCCTTTGCCCTCAAAGACATACATGTCAATGGTATGAATGCTGAATTTCTAACAGTTTGCATGCTGCTTTAGAGGACCTTAAGACAGAATGATAAACCGCTCCCTTTCTACCTCTGTAGCGTGGGGTCTGTCGGCGTGCCGCTGCCCGCAGAACTCGTGCGAGTCCCGCTGCTTTCGGAGGGGCAGGCTGGCTCCCCCAGAGCAGGTCGGCATCTTTCCCCTCACCTTGTGTTGCTCACCTGAGCTGCGTGTCCTTTAGGAGTAGTGGTGACAGTTCTGTGTTTGCAAATACTTGTATACAGCGGATGTTTGAGGTCTAAAGAAAATAGCACCTTTCTCTTTGATGCATTGTTTAGTAAGTACAACTGCAAGGCAGTACAGGTAATTACGTACTCTATAGTGGCCTTTTTGCCTTTTTTATTCCTGGTTTCCCATGATCTCAGAACTGCTCTCTAAGCAGTGCTGAATTGATGAGGCTGTTTGAAACTTTTATTGGCTACAACCAAAACTACTAATCCAGAGTAAAAGCAAGAAGTCTGAGACTTGTACTACAAAAAGATCTTTTCACTTTTAGGAATTGTTTGTCTGCCACCCTGTTGGAGCCCATCCTTACCTTTACTGTATCCCAGATTTTTGTCTTTCAGCATATGATAGCCATCTCCTCCAAATAACATATAGGACGGAAGAGTCACATTGTATATTTCATCCATCTGGAGCGGGACGTAGGCTGGGACTCGGCAGGCTGTGCAAAGCACTTCTAAGCTAACAACTCTGCTTCCTGGGGCTCTGGAGAGATCATAGACCACGTGGATGCCTACGAAAATACATGTTTGAAGGGCACTTTCTGCCATGCCTACTGAACACAGAGGGTTAGAAGCAGCGTGTTCTGCCATTTTCAAAAGATTTTTTACATTAGCTTATGTGATTAAGAGGTTATATTGTTCTGATCCCAGTTAATACCATGTTTTCTTTGCACAATAATCAGCTTTTATCTGAAAAAATTCTGGAGATTAGAGAGTTGCTGAAGTACTGTCCCACCTCACTTAACGTATGTGGTATCTGTTCTCATCACTATTCCACAGAAGGAAATGACTAGTCATGGGCTTAGGATACTGTGAGATAAAAATACCTTTCCTTATTTCTGCAGTCATACGCTTTCTCATTCCGCCGTCTTGTTGGCCGAAATGACTTCTTTTAGAACCAGCCAGCCACCCTAACTTAGCACCAATTATGGATAATAAGTACTGTCTCGAAAAAACCAAAGCCAGGCCAGGGCTGAACGTTGTGGTTTCTACTCACTGTACAAGTAACGTTTCTAGTTGTGAGCTTTCCTCAGTCAAAGCCTGGGGAGA